ACGTAAAACCATAGTCAAAATGGTTTAGACGTAAAAAATAATCAAATTACATAATAAAATTAACAGCAATATTCGATATTTATGGTCCATATTATGATATTCTTAAAGTTAATATTTTAGTAAAATACCTAGCAGAGTAAGAAATGTATGTACCAAGAGAAAACGACTCATAATATTCCTATAGGTATACTTTCAGACATGCAAAGTATACTATCTGCCATCAGGCGCCAGCTTCAAATCAATATCTCATTACTTCAATAATTCATAAATGTCATCGATTTGTTGCAATATCCTATTCTCTAAATTTACTCTGCAAATTCAAAGACATACAATCATCTTCCTACTAAATTTATAGAAATTATCGATTTGTAATACCGCCGTCAATATAATAGCAGCAATAAAAAATATATTGCTGCTTACTAGACCCAATTTTCATACGTTTATTGACTGTCTATAATCTATTTTTAAAATAAACTAAAAAAGGGCAGCTCATTAAATAAAAAAAAGTTAAAGTATTTAATACTAAACCAAAATTAGAGTTTTTATTGCAGAGGAACTGAATACCCAAGAAAATATCCATCAACTAACTACACGTTTCCTTCAAAACTTGTTAATCAGAAAAAAATAGCTGTCTTCAAATCGATGTTCTAGATATAAATTAGTGTAACTCAGTTATTACCAAATGTCGCAATAAAAGCCTATATCTAAGCGTTACAAATTTTGTATTTAATTACACAGACCGACAAAATTTTAAACCAGAAACTTGGCTATAGTTTTTGGAAGGTTTTTACCTACCACGCTGTGTCCGAATCCAACCTCAGGATTATTCCATCATAACAGGTTTTCGAGATATTCCAACCTAAAAGTGTTAAAAATAAAATCTATAGGTAATTTTCGCCACAAAGCTCTCCTCCTTCAAAATATTGTGTATTTTGAATCGTTCGAGCATCTTCTTTCCTCTCCGAGAAAATGTCTGTTGAAATTAATTAGGTCAGGTGAAGTGTTTGTAATTTCATTCTTCTCTCGTTTAAAGTTTTCAACTGATGCTAATCGGTTTCCGTATAGGTAATAGATGAATGCGCTCATCTCATGTCTATTATAAAATCAGTTACATTTTGTCAACATGTGTTATTTAAATGATTTTAATAATGCAAAATTTTTCAGAAATGATTTAAATCTACTTTCTAGAGACACATTTGCATACAGCTAACGGAAGGTAGAAAACATTCCTATTGACTAGGAGATAAGCCCCGTTAGTACCAAACGCGCTTATAGAGTCCTTCTACGGTAACTGAATTATCGCGATATATTAATAAGCAATATTGCAAGATCAGCATTCTTGCGATATTGCATTGTTTCGATATCATCACGACACGGCAATACATCGTACCCGGGAACATTTGCTATACTAAAGAGAGTTACCCCTGATCAAGGACGCGAAGAGTTTCGCTCAAAGCATATTCTGCACTAATACAAACATTATGAATATACTTCGAGGGCCACTTATTCACAACGTATGTTGTAAGGAATATGTCACCGAACTAATCGTTCCATTTAGAAAGGGAATGAATAAGTTTATTTAATGACCAGATCGTAATTCAATGAATCATGCTATCTCACTGTTAAAATACTACCCCCAAAGAGACCCATGGGCCAATGTTGTAGAGTGGCGTACTTTCTTAATACTATGTTGTTCTATTTCTCGGCGATATCTTTTGAGGGTCCAATGAAGATGGAATACCTTCGCAAGCATACGCTGATAACCGTCGTGTTATACTTATTTCAAGAAAAATGACACACAATGTTCACTCAAAGGATTCTCAGCGTAATATAGTGTGTATATAGGATAGGGACTGAAATGGATAATCAAAACTGATTCTGCCTTCTTCACCAGAGAACGTGATATCAGAAAACTGTTTTTCTTGCAACAAAAACCATTTAGATGCCTCAAATAGTAAAATTCCTGGGGGTTACTCTGGACAATCCCTTAAGCGGAGTCTCCGCTGCGGAGAGACAATTACAGAAGACCATACGTCAATTTGGACATACAGGAGGCTTTTGGGAAAATGTGGAGGCTCAATATCAAAACGATTTTGTGTGTGTGCTGCTGTTATTAGACCCTCTTTCTCTTTTATACAGCCTCATGTTCGACGGATTACAATTAAACCACGCCAAAATAAATTACAGAAACTGGCAAGCGTTACGAACTGAAGCCCTTTAGGCTTAACTATCATTTCCAACAGTACACATTGTGACTGGCTACGTAAAGTTCTTGTAAAAGAATTAGTAGAAAGAAATACAGTTATGAAAGTTGTTAACAACCTTATATTTTTCATCTAGGTACCCACATTTTTCAAAAAAAAATTCAAAGTTACGATAGCGGATAGGAAAGCCTGGCTCTGGATCCCTGATGTTCAGGTTCGTCTAATTCACTGGTTCCAAAACAAGCGAAGGCTCCAAGGCGGATAGCTGTGGTATGCGCACAGAGATGAGTATCTTCTGAGGAAGTATGCCACAGTACTTCAGTCTAAAGTTGTCGCTATCGACTTCTCTATAAGAAAATTTCAAAAGAAGATATGTATATCATTTCTGTCATCTCAAAATATCCAGCAGAGCATCTGCACGCAGCATGAACCTGTTTTAAACTCCTACTAGCGGCATATGTCAGAGCCACCATACTCTTGGTGAATATTTTTTGGAAAAAAAAATCTGGGCAGGCAGAAAAAAGAGAACAGTCAGTGTCAAATTAATTAATTTTTGCGTTTGCATTTTACTTTTGAAAAAGATTCTAATACACCTAAAGAATAAAGATTTATTCAAGATCTTGCGACTTTATTTGGAAAAAACCGAACCGTATGCTTAGGGTAAAACGGGTAGTTTTATCACGAAGCAATTGACAGCATACATAATTACCGCAATCCACACAATATGGGACTTAGACAAGCAAATTCACCAAGTGGTTGGAAGTACTACAATTAATAAGGCTCTTCCTATAATTACAATAATTTGTTAAATAAAGCGACAATTACTAATTAATTATCAACTTTGTCATATAGAACTGAACTACCATTCTGCAAAAAAAAACTCATTTTCAAAAATTGATCAACATTCTATAAAATATTTTGATTTGAATAGGTACATTGAAATGTTGATGCATACAGATATAGAGTGTCTGAATAGTCCCTGTACATGAAACTACTACATTTTTGAGGTTAAAATAAATTGATTTTTAACTAAACTTGCCGCTTTCCAGATATTAGACTTTTTAACCATTAACGTCCAAGTTATTAAAATATTTCAGTTTTTTAAAAACGATTAAATGTTTTTAAATGAAACTTGGTATGCTAGTAGGTACCTCTGTATAATTTGTAATCAAAGAAACTGCATTTATAAAAATGACAAAAATATTCTCACCCCTTCAAGTTTTTTTTTCTCGTTAAATATTTCGTATTCTAACGGTTTTTGCCAAATTTTTAGTATTATTAATAATTTTCGATGCATCATCATATACATTTAACTAATTTGGATATAAAAACTAAATAGTATTGCTAATATAATTTGGATTTCGGAAATTATATTGCAATATTTTTTCATGAGAATTATTGAAATTGATCACAAATTAATTAATTAAATAATTAATCAAAAACTCGGCAAGAAAAAATTATTATGTACACTGATTTCAGATTATCCTCATTCTGCAAATTATAAACAATAGTTTCTTATGGATTTCATCAAATTTAATGCTCCTCAAATAAAAAATAATCATAAATATTAAAATTTGAGAAAGCTGCAATTAGGAGACAGGAAAAAATCTGAATTCAATACGATTACTATTTTACTAAATTTTTACTTAATACTGACATGTACAGAAAATGCATTGGTGGCGACTAATAAAATAATAATTAAGGTAGCTCTGGGTAAGAAGATAATAATTAAAATGAACGATTACGGAACATCTTTCTTTATTATTAACTCGGATAATAAACATAAATATTATACTCAGTATCATAGAAAAAAATAAATATTCAGGCTTTATTTTTGGCCATCTCTACCGAGTGCCCGGGTGAGATGTCCTTACCAAACGGGAGTGATGCCCCATTATTTTATTTTTTCAAGTTACTTTTTGCTATATCTGCTCTCCTCTCCCTTCGTCCACTCACGTTGCACTTATTTTCAAAAAATGGAGCACGTTTCGTTGAACCATCCTCTGCAGTTTATGCATTGCAGCCAATCCACTGTCTCCTTCGTCTGGAAATAATTGTCTAGACATTCCACGCAATAGTTCTCATTGTGACTTTTCCTTTCTCTATCCAACTTTTTCATCAGTGTTGACAAACTCTCTTAGAAGACGTATCGAGTTCTTTACTCCTCTCCTGATCTTTATTCTCAGTTTAATTTCCGTTTTTTGCTTTCTTCTTGTTAGTTTTCTCCGTGTTTGTGGCAATAGTTTTTAGTTCCTTTGTTGAGATTTCGGCTGACAGCTTCTTTCCTTTCTTTTGTTTTTCTTGGATGACAGGTATGGGACTGATTTCTGATAAAAACTTTGACGGTGTTTCTTTCGTCTGTGATGTCTTAGGTGCACTTCTGTTCCTGCCGTGAATTCCAGATGTACCCGCAATAGCAACTGTCTGGGGTCCTGAAGCTGGTGTTGTTGTTATGGCTAAAGTGGGATTTACATCAGACGATGAAGAATCAGCAATAGCGCAAAAATAATCATGAATAATGTCCGGATCAAGTGGTAATATTCCTGTGGCTTGGAATCCAAACAAGGCAATATCAATTGACGCTGTTTTGCCCTAGGCTTTCCCAATTAATTCCCCTGCTTGCAATCGACCTAGCNAGAACTTCGCTTGTTAAATATCCAGATATCGGATTCATATGACGATGCCCCTATAGAACTTTTAATAGGTTCCGATATTGCAGGAAAGCTGTACACAGGAAAACGATATGTTCTGAAATGCGGGCTGGTAGCCATCGAAACACTACTAGGCTGGACCATGATGGGCAAGATACCCCTGGAAAAACCTCAAAGCTTGTCTATGATTTCTGTTTCCCTTTTCGTTAACAATGCCTCGATTACTAATCTCTGGGAACTTGATGTTTTAGGTATAAACGATCCTGCTGAAAGAATGACTCGTGAGGAAACAGCGTTGGCAGCTAAAGAATTTTTCCTGGAAACCATCACAATCGACGTAGATGGTCGGTATGAAGTTAGACTGCCGTGGTTAGAAGGACATCCGGCATTACCAAGCAACTATCAGATGGCTAAGAAGAGATTGGAGAATACTGTTAAGAAAGTTATTAATGACGGATATTTCGAAGCGTATGACCAGGTGTTTAGAGATTGGCTGTACGAAAATATTATCGAAGAAGTTTTCGAGATACAACCTACAAAGGTGGCTCACTACTTACCACATAGGCAGGTAATAAAACCCAGCAGCGCGATCACAAAAATAAAGCCTGTTTTTGACGCTTCTGCCAGAGAAAGAGACAGCCCCTCTTTGAATCAGTGCCTCGAGAAGGGTCTGAATTTGATTGAATTGATTTCTGGTATCTTGCTAAGATTCAGGCGACAGAGAATTGGTGTAGTCTCAGACATTAGAAAAGCCTTTTTACAGATTAGCATACATGAGGCTGATAGAGACTTCCTTCGTTTTTTATGGTCTGACAGTGAGGGTAAACAAATAGTGTATCGCCATCGTCGTGTGGTGTTCGGAATCAACAGTAGTCCGTTTCTCTTAGGGGCCACAATAGAGTACCATTTGTCCAAGATGTTGAAGGAATCTGATTCCAAACCTTTTTCAAAGGATACCATCATGAAATTGTCAGATGGTTTTTACGTTGATAACTGCGTAACCAGTGTTGCAAATGACAAAGAGTTGAGAACATTTGTCGAAGAGGCTAGTATCGTAATGGCTGAAGGCAAGTTTGATTTAAGAGGGTGGGTGCATACATATCAAGTCCAAGATGGCAACCTTGATATTTCCACTTCCGTGTTGGGAATGAAATGGAACAAAGAGAACGATACTTTAAGCCTAAACCAAGACGATAACACCACAGAGCAATTCGAAAATAAACTCGTGACTAAGAGGTTTATGCTATCACAAGCTCAGAGAGTATTCGATCCTATTGGTTATACTTGTCCTACAACGCTAATACCAAAATTGTTGCTTCAAAAGACATGGGAAAAACAGCTTACTTGGGATACACCGGTCGACCCTATAATTGAAACACATTTTCGAATGTGGATGAAGGAGTTGCCGTATTTATCAGCTATTAGAATCCCTAGATGGATACATGCGGGCTCCGCAGAAGCAGACCAATGGGCCTTGCATACATTTTGTGACGCGAGCAAGGAAGCTTTCGCTGTAGTTGTTTTCTTAAGGGGAGTGCAGAATGGCGAGGTATTTGTACATCTTTTGGCAGCCAAGGCGAAAGTAGCGCCTTTAAAAACATGGTCAATATCTCGACTCGAGTTGATGGCAGCTATCATAGCAGTTCGACTATACACAATGTGTAGAAAAAATCTAAATAGTGAACTAGAAAGTTTTTTCTGGAGTGACTCGACAACAGTACTCAGTTGGATTAGAAGACCAGAAGAATGGTCAACATTTGTTTGGAATCGGGTGAAGGAAATTCGGACAGCATCTTCGGACAAAAATTGGCATCATGTTCCTGGTACGCTGAATCCAGCTGACCTCCCATCTCGAGGTTGTTCTGCGAAACAATTGCTCGAATCGACATGGTGGGAGGGCCCGTCATGGTTATATCGAGACTCGTCGTGTTGGCCTCGGGATAATCTGCATTATGATGAAGAGGAGATTAATAAAGAAAAGAAGAAAAAATTGGTTACTGTACTACTCAACAGTGAGAGTAAAATAATGACGTTAGAAAACTGGCATCTATACTATTTTTCACAATACCTGAAAACTCTAAGAATGTGCGCGTGGATACTTCGATTTATACACAATTCTAGAAATAAGTATGACAAGCATAAAGGAGACCTGAGTGCTGAAGAATGTGATAAATCAGAATTATTGGTGCTCAAACTAATACAACAAGAATCGTTTGCGAACGAAAATGATAAGAAATTACGTGGCCTGAATGGCTTTAAAGACAAGAACGGTTTAATTCGGTTGAAAACTCGTATTAGTAATCGAGAGGATCACGAAAATTTTCGATATCCAATCGTTTTGCCTGCCAAACACTCAGTGGTAAATCGGTTGATATTTGGGGAACATGTTAAGTTATGCCATGTTGGTGCCCAAGGACTGATGAGTATTTTACGAGAAAGACATTGGATTTTAGGCGGTCGACGGGCAATAAAATCAGCGATTTCTGGTTTTGTCGTCTGTAAAAGACATAATGCTAAGCCGTTTGATGCAAGTTCCCCACCATTACCGATGGATCGGATTCGAGATGCCGTAGTTTTTGAAATAACGGGTGTAGACTTTGCGGGTCCTTTGTATCTCAAGACTGGAGAAAAGGTATGGGTGTGCCTTTTTACATGTGCCGTATATCGAGCAGTCCATCTAGAACTATGTAGATCGTTATCAACGGCGGATTTTATGCAAGCGCTGCGAAGGTTCATTGCCAGGCGAGGTCGTCCGAAAACCATATATAGTGATAATGGGACAAACTTTGTCGGTACCGAAAACGCTTTCTCGCTAGTAGACTTTCAGAAAATTGCCGAGCATAGTAGTGCCGAACGCATAAGATGGCGATTTAACCCACCTACGGCTGCGTGGTGGGGTGGGTTTTGGGAAAGACTTGTGGGCGTTTTGAAACAACTTTTAAGGAAAATGTTAGGGCGTTCTTCGCTGGATTATGAAAGTCTAGCAACTGTCCTCTGTGATTGTGAATCAGTCATAAATTCAAGGCCACTTACTTGCCCTTCATCGGATGCTAATGAATTGGTACCTCTAACGCCAGTGATGTTTCTTAGAGACCAGGTACCAGGTGACGTTCCAGATTGTGATGCCGTTGATCAACAGTCGCTATCTAGGAAGGTGTTACACAGACAAAAGTTGTTGGAAGATCTTCGGAGGAAGTTCCGCAACGAGTATTTGGGCCAATTAAAATGGTGGTCCAAAAGAAATAAAGAAAGCCAAGTGAAGGTGGGAGAAGTAGTATTTGTGAGTAACGATAAAGACAAACGAGCAAATTGGCCTCTTGGTCGTGTAATCGAGCTCCTGCCTGGAAATGACGGGCGTGTTCGACTGGTCAAGGTCCTTACGGAAAGGGGTCAATTTCTGAGACCTATACAACGGCTGTATCCATTGGAGTGTGCAGCAGACTACTCTCAGATGGAAAACGGTGGCAGTTCGGACTTCTTCATGGGATCAGAGCCGCTTTCAAGAAACGAAAGTGCAAGTGCGGAATCGGGAGTGACAAAAAGCAGAGTACCCGAATCGGAAGTGAGAGTTACGCGAAGTGGGCGAAATGTTAAAACCCCGGTTAGGTATTCTGACTGTCAATATTATTAGACAAACACCTACATAGATAGATATTCCCTTTCCCGTTTGTTCTACTTTAGGTTATACTTAAACTAATGTTTTTATTTGTTGTGCTTGTTTACTGATTGCTTTCTTGGCTCTGGAAATATGATGAGCCATGCTTATTTGTTATAAACATGCCTCAGGTGGGAGGATGTCAGAGCCACTCTTGGTGAATATTTTTTGGAAAAAGAATCTGGGCAGGCAGAAAAAAGAGAACAGTCAGTGTCAAATAAATAAGTTTTTCGTTTGCATTTTACTTTTGAAAAAGATTCTAATACACCTAAAGAATAAAGATTTATTCAAGATCTTGCGACTTTATTTGGAAAAAACCGAACCGTCTGCTTAGGGTAAAACGGGTAGTTTTATCACGAAGCAATTGACAGCATACATAATTACCGCAATCCACACAATATGGGACTTAGACAAGCAAATTCACCAAGTGGTTGGAAGTACTACAATTAATAAGGCTCTTCCTATAATTACAATAATTTGTTAAATAAAGCGACAATTACTAATTAATTATCAACTTTGTCATATAGAACTGAACTACCATTCTGCAAAAAAAAACTCATTTTCAAAAATTGATCAACATTCTATAAAATATTTTGATTTGAATAGGTACATTGAAATGTTGATGCATACAGATATAGAGTGTCTGAATAGTCCCTGTACATGAAACTACTACATTTTTGAGGTTAAAATAAATTGATTTTTAACTAAACTTGCCGCTTTCCAGATATTAGACTTTTTAACCATTAACGTCCAAGTTATTAAAATATTTCAGTTTTTTAAAAACGATTAAATGTTTTTAAATGAAACTTGGTATGCTAGTAGGTACCTCTGTATAATTTGTAATCAAAGAAACTGCATTTATAAAAATGACAAAAATATTCTCACCCCTTCAAGTTTTTTTTTCTCGTTAAATATTTCGTATTTTTATATATTTCGGTTTTTGCCAAATTTTTAGTATTATTAATAATTTTCGATGCATCATCATATACATTTAACTAATTTGGCTATAAAAACTAAATAGTATTGCTAATATAATTTGGATTTCGGAAATTATATTGCAATATTTTTTCATGAGAATTATTGAAATTGATCACAAATTAATTAATTAAATAATTAATCAAAAACTCGGCAAGAAAAAATTATTATGTACACTGATTTCAGATTATCCTCATTCTGCAAATTATAAACAATAGTTTCTTATGGATTTCATCAAATTTAATGCTCCTCAAATAAAAAATAATCATAAATATTAAAATTTGAGAAAGCTGCAATTAGGAGACAGGAAAAAATCTGAATTCAATACGATTACTATTTTACTAAATTTTTACTTAATACTGACATGTACAGAAAATGCATTGGTGGCGACTAATAAAATAATAATTAAGGTAGCTCTGGGTAAGAAGATAATAATTAAAATGAACGATTACGGAACATCTTTCTTTATTATTAACTCTGATAATAAACATAAATATTATACTCAGTATCATAGAAAAAAATAAATATTCAGGCTTTATTTTTGGCCATCTCTACCGAGTGCCCGGGTGAGATGTCCTTACCAAACGGGAGTGATGCCCCATTATTTTATTTTTTCAAGTTACTTTTTGCTATATCTGCTCTCCTCTCCCTTCGTCCACTCACGTTGCACTTATTTTCAAAAAATGGAGCACGTTTCGTTGAACCATCCTCTGCAGTTTATGCATTGCAGCCAATCCACTGTCTCCTTCGTCTGGAAATAATTGTCTAGACATTCCACGCAATAGTTCTCATTGTGACTTTTCCTTTCTCTATCCAACTTTTTCATCAGTGTTGACAAACTCTCTTAGAAGACGTATCGAGTCCTTTACTCCTCTCCTGATCTTTATTCTCAGTTTAATTTCCGTTTTTTGCTTTCTTCTTGTTAGTTTTCTCCGTGTTTGTGGCAATAGTTTTTAGTTCCTTTGTTGAGATTTCGGCTGACAGCTTCTTTCCTTTCTTTTGTTTTTCTTGGATGACAGGTATGGGACTGATTTCTGATAAAAACTTTGACGGTGTTTCTTTCGTCTGTGATGTCTTAGGTGCACTTCTGTTCCTGCCGTGAATTCCAGATGTACCCGCAATAGCAACTGTCTGGGGTCCTGAAGCTGGTGTTGTTGTTATGGCTAAAGTGGGATTTACATCAGACGATGAAGAATCAGCAATAGCGCAAAAATAATCATGAATAATGTCCGGATCAAGTGGTAATATTCCTGTGGCTTGGAATCCAAACAAGGCAATATCAATTGACGCTGTTTTGCCCTAGGCTTTCCCAATTAATTCCCCTGCTTGCAATCGACCTAGCTTTCGACCAGGATGATGAATTGTCTCGCTTCCTTTTTTAGATTGTGTTTTAGTGACTTGAAAAATGACCTATCTAAAGGTTGTAGTACCTGGGTAGTATGGCTTGGCAAACACATTAGAATAACATAGTTTTCTTCAGCGTACTGCAACATTTCAAGACAATTTCTATGCGACGTATGTCCATATAGAATTAAGGGTTTTTCCAGGTGACTTTCTAGGCAGAAAAAAATCCCTAAGTCATTTAAACTTATTTTTAACTTATTTACAGGTTTATATCATAGAGATCATAACACAAAGTCCCGTTAATTTTTCACGTAGAATTCGATAATGCCATAAAAATATAGGTCTCCATTAAAAAAAATTAAGTTGGTACCTGCCCAGGAAAAACTGAACACCCTGTATATGCAAATATATTTTCATTTTGTGCAGCTCGGGAAAGTAGGCAACTCTGTAGAAAAAAAATTAAGTTATATCTTTTATTAACCTAGATATTGCACTTACGCGCACTAGGTGAACACGGTGTATATTTAGCGGTTTTTCGTTTTTTGTAATTATATACATACAGGGTGGGCCATTAGTGTGAGAAAGTACACTAACTCCCTTGTTACTTATAATACAGAAAAAAAGTTTATATAAAAGTTGTACAGAATCAAGAAACCTAAACTACAAAATTAATTTCAAACATACAGGGCGATGAGTAAAAACGGGACACGCCGAACATTACATTTTTTAAATGGAACACCCTATATATTTTTAAACAGTTGGATTTTTGAGAAAATTCTATACAGGGTGTCCCCAGTTCGGGTTGCCTATAACTGAAATGGATACAAAATTTCAATTGTCAAAAAAAATCATTCTTCATAAAAAATTTTGCTTGTCCAGATGCCCTTGACAAGAGGGTCATTTGTTCAAATTAATGTACAGGGTGTTCAAAAATTTGGAAAAGGTAAAAACAGTGAAGAGTAAAGTACCTTAAATCTTACCGCTACGTGAAAGAGTAATGGGGAAAAGTTGCTTGGAATTAAATTTTATGTTTAAATATGAAAGCACGGCCTTCTAGTTAATACTCGACATTCTGGGATATTCTAGGACTCTACTTATTTTTTAATACTTTCGGAGAAGCCATTCTATTTAAAAAATATTGCTTTATTGAAAATAGATGTTTGCATATTAATAATTTATTTTTTATACAGGGGGATCAAAAACCTCAAAAACATTAATCCAACATTTATTTTGAGAACACAGCAGAATCAGTATGTACGCGCCATCACAAAACTATTCTACGTTAAGTCCGCCAAGTTCAACACACCTCTCCAATCTTTTTCTAAATGCAGCGTAGGTCGAATGCATTATTTCTTCATTTATTTGGGCAACAGCTTCAATTACCCTGCTTTTCAAGAAATCAACATTGTGTTGCACTGGTTCTCTGTACACTCTTTCTTTCAAGAAGCCCCAAAGGAAATAATCAAGCGGCGACAAGTCAGGGGACCTTGCTGGCCAACAAATAGGACCATATCTTCCTATCCACTTCTCTCGAAATTTTCTGTTAAGCCAATTGCGCACTAGAATTTTTGAGTGAGCGGGACATCCGTCTTGTTGGAAATATGCTTTTTGTCTATATTCCAAATGTTCTTCTAATTCTGGCCGGAAAAACGTGTCTAGCATCTCCAGGTACGTATATTGATTTAAATTTGCTTAAAAAAAGTCCCAATTATTCGGTTGAAAGTAATCGCGCACCAAACATTTACTTTTTTGAACCTTTGACTTCTTGAAGTAACTGTAAAGGAAAGATTTTCCTGCGACCAAAAACGACAATTTTGCGACGATACCACTCCATTGGTAGAAAAAGTGGTTTCATCGGAAAAAATTATATGTTTGTGAAAATGTCTATCTACCACAATCCTTTCTCCTATCTCTAAACAGAACTCCAAACGATGTGCATCATCAACTTCTAGAGTGTGAATTACTTAAACTTATTTTCTAGAATGTCGAGTATTAGTTAGGATATATTTAAAAATAAAATTTAACTCCAAGCAACTTTTCCCCATTACTTTTTCACGTAGCGTTAAGATTTAAGGTACTTTACTCTTCACTGTTTTTACCTTTTCCGAATTTTTGAACACCCTGTACATTAATTTGAACAAATGACCCTCTTGTCAAGGGCATCTGGACAAGCAAAAATTTTTATGAAGAATCATTTTTTTTGACAATTTAAATTTTGTATCCATTTCAGGTATAGGCAACCCGAACTGGGGACACCCTGTATATGGCAATATAAACAGTTTATCATTTTAGTGCGGGGTTGCCAAGTTATGTAGAAAATTCTTAGAATTTTGGAAAAACATGACCTCGCAGAAGTTGTATTAACTTTCAACTACTAACACTTGGAGCAAAAATATTTGACACAGTTATAGGCAAATGTTATACAAAGGCTCCTATATTAGCTAATATCGATATTTTATACAGGGCATTTTTTATAAGACGATAATTTTTAGAAAGTTTAAACTTGATTTTCTAAAATTTTTCGAATGGAACACCATATATTTTATTGTTTTATTTTATTCGCATATCACTCCACTTCAACTTTTATTAAGCATGTTCTATACCTAAAATTGTTAGTTTTTAAGATATGGCAACATTTCTGAAAATACTTAATTTTT